CTCTCTCTCTCTTCCCCCCTCCCCCTTCTTTTTCTTCTCCTGGTTTTCTTCTTCCTCCTCCTCCTCCTTTTTTCTCCCCTTTCTTTTCTCGACTCCTGAGACAATTAGTATAGAGAGAACAGAGATTGGAAGAGACTTGCTTTGGGTTTTCAACTTCTTCTTATTCTCCAGAAAAAGGAAATACATGGAAATAAATAGCAGCAACTTTATTTGCAAGAATAATCCCCCAAGTATTTTGGAGTCCTTCTCGCTCGCCCGGATTGACGTGGCATCCTAGGCGTTGACTCCGTCGTATCATTCCCCCCCTCCCCTTTCTCTTCTTTTTCTTCTTCTCATTCTTTTTCTTGAAGCCCCTTAGTATTTTTTTTCAGATCCGAAAAAATGCGAGTTGCCCTATTGTTCTTCGATTCTGCGCATATCAGAGAAGAGGATTCAATTGAAGTTGTGCAGAGGAGTCAATTGAAGTTCATACTCCATTTGAGTAGAGGAGTTAATTCTTGATCCCAATTAAAGTTGTGGAGAGGATTCAACTCTCGAAGTCCCTGGTTTGAGCAGAAACGTTGATTGAAATTGTACCTTCTTCGATCGTGCAGGTGTCCATTGTCTTTTGTTCCATAGAAAAACGTAGACGGAGTAAATTGAAATTGGATTTGTGCAACAGAGAAAGACAGGGGTATTTTGGACAAATTGTACAGAAAGTCAACTTCTCTTATAAATGACCAAAAGTCAAATCGGAGGGAGTAATAGAATAGCAAAAATATCATATAAGAGTTTCATGTTTTTATTTTTGAAATAGGAGTTTGCACTGTAGTAATGTGATGGTAATGTGGCAGTGTACATGTGCATATTAATATACGTTTTGGTAATGTGATGCTCGTTAGAGAAAGTCATTATGTTTTAAAGCTATTTAAGTAAATTTCTCATATTTTCAATGTGTATTCTTGCCTTTTTTTTCCTATATGATAAAATTTATATTCTTTTTAGGGTATTTTTATATTAGTTCATAAGTAGTTGTACAATTTTAACTTTCTACAATCAACTACTTTTGATCTTTGATCTTGAAATAAATAGAAATTATATGTAATATTAACTAGTAAAACAACATTTGAAACATTTTGTATAAGGAAAAAATCTAATAAAATTATTTTTCTATCAATATCTATTATGATATTTATGATATTTATCTAATAAAAATGGATGAATACTCAACAAAGAAGGTAGTACTATTCTATTTAACATTTTATTTCTTCTATATGAAATTACTTCTTTCTTTCAGTTTAAATCCTCTATACTTGTTTACAAGATTTGATTGAAAATATGTTCAACTCAACTTAGTTTAAAATTGATATGAAATTAAAGAAAAAAATTTACATATTTAAAAATTATATCAAAATATTTACTACAAAATAAGAGTTGACACAACTATATTATTTTACCAAATGTGTAGTGAAATCGGTAAAGAATGTGAATAAAATTTTACACTGTTAAAAATAAACATGTACTCCCTCCGTCCTAAAACTTTCTTCCCGTTGTGCAAAACGAAAAAAAATCCCAAGTTTTTTCAATCTATTTTATTTAAATATTGGTATAGAAATAAAAAATAAAACATACATATTTAAAAACTACATCAAAAGTTCAACAAAACAAGTGGTGACAAAAATATTTTATTTTATCATATAGGCCATGAAAAAACACAAATAAATATAAATTCTCGTGAAGTTGGAATACTTCTCTGGGAAGAAAGTTTTAGCACGGAGGGAGTAACATATATTGTGACTAAGGGAGTACATTCTAAAAATATATTTTAAAAAAGAGAACACTACAAAAAATAACCTAAACTGTGACAGAGGGCTGTCCGTTGCAGATCTACTACGGCTCTCCGACAACACTAGGCATGTTAAAAATAGGGTAAAAGCCTATGACAACCTCTTAATTTATGAGTCTGTCGCAGATTGAATTTATAATTAAAATAATCCCATTTTTATCTCACACATTTCAATCGATTTCCATAAAAAATCAAAATAGGAGTAAACATTGATAAAATATCAAAATAGAAGATTCATGTTTTATCCCAAAATTAGAAGTTACAATGTCAATAATGTCCACATATAATACCAAAAAAACAATGTAAAATGAAACTGTACAATGCCAAAATATTACGGTGCACACTCCTATTTCGATAATAAAAATATAAAATTCTTAATTTAAAAAAATACTCCATCCGTCCCAAATTTGGTTACAATCTTTGTTCTCTCACTTCTCAAACATTGATAAAATATCAGAATATGAATTCCATATTTTTTATCCCCAAATTAGGAGTTACAACGTCGATAATGTCAATATATAATACCGAAAAATATATTGAAATGAAAATATAAAATTTCCATTCAAAGACAATACTATATCTGTCTCAAATTTGATTACAATCTTTTTCTCTCATTTCTCAATTATTTTTATTTATTTATGCATTTTTTTAACTATATGATAAAATAAAATATTTTTGTTACCTATTATTTTGTATAAATTTTGTCATAATTTTTTAATACGTAATGTTTTTTTAATGTTATCATTTTGTAAATACAAAAATATAAAAAACTGCATCATTAGCAATGGACAAAGACCCACGCGACCAGGCGGGCTGGGCACGGTGCACATGCTTATCATTATTAAAGCCCCGCCACATTCTCATTGTTTGCAACACCTCCGGGTCCACATTCCATTCCGCCATAAAATAAATTTTGGGTGTGTATCAATTTTCTGGATCTTTTTTAAATAAATATTTTATACTCTCTCCGTCCCAAAAAGATTTACACCTTTCAAAAAAATTGTGTCTCACAATCTCCTACCCATTTCTATTAAAAAATCACTTTTACCCCTTACTTTTTCAAACCCTACCTATCACATCATACCTTTTTCCTAATAATCTACACATCACATCCTACTTTTACCCATTACATCAAAGATATTTTTGGAAAGTCAACACAAAATTATCTCATCCTTAATTTCTACTTTAGTCAAAATGGGTAACACTTTATGGGACGGAAGGAGTATTTTTTTCTAAACAACAAATACTTATTTAAGTAATAATTTAAAGTATAACTTCTTTATATTTTTGAAATTTCAAAAATTGACAGAAATAAAAAACTTATTTAAAGTTTATCATATTGTTGATTAAAATATTTACATTAATATAATTTCTTATTTTTGAAACATGTTCAATAAATATTAAAATCAAGTTCTTGTAGCTTTTTGACGTGATTTTTAGATATCTTAATTTTATATTTTATACTCCGTATTAATCTTTTTATAAAATGAATTCAAAAAATTTAAAATTTTCTTTTGTTTTAAATAATGTGGCAAATATGGTGAAGTGGAGAAAGTAAAAAGTAAGGAGATATAAAGTGAAGTAATTAGCCAAGGGACAGATGATTCCAAGATGACCAATTGGTTCATCATCAAAATCCTCTTCACAATATTCTTCCTCACACCAACAACACAAATTTCGGCATCAAACCCACCGCCGATCCAACGGCAAGTAACAGCAACGCCACCGCCGCTGCCCATTCTCCCCCTCCCCACTTTCTCTCAGCTCAAATGGCAGCGCCGGGAGATCATCATGTTCTTTCACTTCGGCGTCAACACATTCACCGACCGGGAATGGGGAACCGGCCAAGAGAGCCCGGCGATCTTCCACCCGGCCTCCCTAGACGCCGGCCAGTGGATGGAGACGGCTGTCCAGGCCGGAGTCTCCCTCGCCATCCTCACCGCGAAGCACCACGACGGCTTCTGCCTCTGGCCTTCGAATTACACCGACCATTCCGTTGCGGGAAGCCCGTGGAGGAACGGCGAGGGAGACGTCGTTCGGGAGTTCGTGGGCGCCGCGAAGGCCCGCGGCGTGGATGTGGGATTGTATCTTTCCCCTTGGGATCGCCATGATCGTAGATATGGTCGCACCAAGGAGTATAATGAGTACTACTTGGCTCAATTGCAAGAACTTCTCAAGACGTAAGTTTATTACAGAGTATTTGATTCAATAAAATATTTTTATCATTTTTTGTTTTCTATAACTCTTCATATATTTTTGAAAAGTGTAAGTTATTTGATTCAAAGTACTACTCCCTCCGTTTGAAAAAACCCTTCCCATTTTGATTTGGGGCAAAAATAAGAAAGTGTTAAATTATACTCCCTTCGTCTCACTGTTTTTGTCCACTTTTGACTTTTGGAACTGTTCATCTAAGCACTTTGACTTATCAAATTCTCTCAATGTGTAAGCCTAAATATAGTCATGTGTTCTTATTTGATTTGTCTTAACATATAGATTATTAATATATAATTTCTATAATTTTTTAATATACAAATTACAAGATAAAATGGATTAAAGAAGTGCATTAGATGGTGTGCCAAAAGGTAAGTGGACAAAGACAGTGGGACGGAGGGAGTAGTTGATTTCCAATTTTGCCCCTGATGTGATGGGTAAAAGTAAGATGTGATGGATAGATTATTAGACAAAAAGTATGATGTGATAAGTAGGGTATGAAAAAGTAAGGGTAAAAGTGGTTTTTTAATAGAAAAGGGAAGTGTTTTGTTGGAAGTGGAAAAAATGAAAGAGGAAGTGTTTTTGAGAACGGAGGGAGTACAAAGTAGGGAGGATCTTTTATTTATATAGGGAGTATTAATTTGTAATTAAAATACTTTAAGCACTAATATATTTGCAATTATTTGGTTTGCATCATTTGTATGGGACGATGTGGTGAAGTTATGGAGGTGTTAGAGAAATATGGTTTGATGGAGCAAAAGGTCCAAATGCACCAAACATGACATATTACTTCAATGATTGGTTTGAAATGGTGAACGAGTTGCAGGGCAGCATTAACATATTCTCCGACGCCGGCCCCGGCATAAGATGGGTTGGGAACGAGAAAGGCTTCGCCGGAGACACTTGCTGGTCCACCATCAACCGCACCTCCCTTTCCATTGGCGACCCCACCACTCTCGAGTAAGCTCTCAGAACATTTCGTGGTCTAAATTAATACTCTTCCGTCCCTAAATATTTTGGTGTTGATTTTCCAAAAATACTCTTGATGTGATTGATAAAAGTAAAATGTGATGGGTAGATTATTAATAAAAAGATATGATGTGATAGTCAAGATATTAAAAAGTGAGGGATAAAAGTGGTTTTTTAAGGGAAAAGAGAAGTTTTTTTGGGACAAAGAAAAAAAAAGAAAGAAAAAGTTTATTTGGGAACGGGGAGTATTTTCTCAGGCACTAATCATTAAAACGAGTGGATGCAGTTACCTAAGAACCGGAGACTCGAGAGGAACGGACTGGCTGCCGCCGGAATGTGACGTGTCGATCCGGCCGGGGTGGTTCTGGCATAAATCAGAAACCCCGAAGACGCTCGCAGAGCTTCTGGGGGTTTACTACAACTCCGTTGGCCGGAATTGCCTGCTGCTGCTGAACGTTCCGCCCAACACAAAGGGACTAATATCCGACGCCGATGTCGCGCGACTGAAAGAGTTCAGAAGGGCAATTGAGACCATATTCTCCAAAAATCTGGCCGAAGGGTGTTCAGTCGAGGCAAGTAGCCGGAGGGGAGGGGTGAATGGTGGGTTCGGGCCTGAAAATGTGATGGGTGGGGACGACGACATATGGACTTATTGGGCTCCGGCGGACGAGTACACGAGCCACCATTGGATCAAGCTCGTCAGCCGGAAGAGGTTGAGATTCAATGTGGTAAGGGTTCAAGAAGCGATTGGGTTGGGGCAGAGAGTGAAGCGTCACGAGGTTTATGTGGATGGAGTGAGAGTTGCGAATGGAACCACCGTGGGGTACAAGAGGTTACACCGGCTCGAGAAGGGAGCTGTGGAAGGGCACGTCGTGACGCTCAAAATAGTCGGGTCACGGGCAACGCCTTTGATCTCCTCCTTCGCCCTCCATTTTGATCCCTTTTGGCACCCTAACAAGCAACACCAAGACAAAATAGTACTCATATGAACATTTGCATTCAAGTCATTGGACAAATGTTGGAGGGATGGATGGATGTAGTATTTGCCTATTTGGGTTTCAAATGTGCAATGGTTGCAAGTCTTTGAGTGTACTGCTCGCAAAAGTAAAAATAAAAATATGGTTTCAGAATATATTTATACGTACAAATGCTCACCAAGTTTAACAATAGACTAATGCACAGTCACTATTTAACCCATCGGTCGGGCCTCATCATCTTCGTCGCTCAGCCCATCGCCCTCAAGAAGAAGAAGCCGTGAACCCACTCCCCATGATGAATAGCGCCAAGAGATGCACAAGCCGAAATAACATTAGCCATTGTGATTTTTTTATCCGGGATGACTTTATCATCACCAGAAATCTGCATTTCATGGAACAAGTCCAGAGCCTCCTTTCCTCTAACTCACTGAACAAACCCTGTGATCATTGAATTCCATGTGATGATGTTCTTCTCTGTCATTCTCCTGAGAAGATCCATGGCGAATCAAGTTGCTTGTTTCTCAAACACCCCACGATCCTCGATTTCCATGACACAATATCTCTGTCATACATTTCGTCAAACACCTGCACTGCTTTGTCAAGAAGCTCACATCTTTACACATTCTTTCAACACAAAGGGCAGCGCAATAAAATCTGGTGTAAACCCATCAAGTAACAATCTTTTATACAAAATTAAAGCTTGGTGAGAAGCCGGCTCACTGTTCTTGGAGGCGGGAGCTCTGATCATGGCATTGTAAGCAAACGAACTCAGGCTGGAGATGAGTCTGAAAACATTGTCGGCATAGTTGAGAGAGCCAGAGTTTGAGACGACGCAGAAGAAAATGAGGCGAGAATCTGTTCGAGTTCATTCATGTTCCTGCAACTGTCCAGTAGCCTTGCCAGTGTGTTCTTGAGATACACGCGTTTGGGTTCCACCTTTTTTCCAACTTCTAATGCGAAATTGAAAATGGCTATTATAGTAACTCATCGGTTCTATAAAGACAAATTGAAAAGAAAAAAAATTTAAAAAATGGAGAAACGAAATCTCGTAAAAGACTGACAACTTGTAGGACTTTGTCAAGAGATCTAACTGTTAAATTCTACAATGATGAGTAGTCTTGTCTGTCTGTTTCCCTACGCTGTTATTATTTCTTCACCATTTGCGAACGTTCCCTCTGCCAAACATGTAGCTGTTTTGTCGATCGGAAAACCCCACTCTTCCTCCCGAGAAACGACCACCGCCTCCTCTTCGATCAGGAAAGCCAGCGCCTCCTCCACCGCGACCATATCTTCCACCACGGGATTTTTCTCTTTCTTGCAACCTCGGCAAGGATTCCACAATCTCCAGCTTTATGTCGAATCCATTTTCGGCACCTGCAAATGTAAATTGAAACTAGTCCATTATTCTTTTCCAATAAAAACACCAGTTTGGCCTTGGCTCCTTTTAAATAGGTAGAGCATGAGCTTGCCTATTTAAAACACAAATCTTAGCTGAAAATGATATCCCTAGGAAAGGCAAAGTTTATCTGTCCATCAATTGTAAAAAAAATGACAAATGAATTACTCCCTTATTCTAACTAAAAATTAAAAAATTAGAATAAATTTATTTGTACGTCAACTGTACAAAATTTTAATTGTGCATCAACTGTTCAAATTTTATTTGTGCCATAGAATCATATCTTAAATTTTGGGTGGCTTACATTTAACAATAAAACGTATTGGTCAATTGATATGTCACACAATTTTGTATAGACCTACATATGAGAATAATAAATAAATCTTTACTAGCCTTATAAACATTCTTTTTTGTAAAAAAAATAAAGGAATAAAAACACTTTTGATATATAAGAAGTACACAACAAATGGTATAAAGCTTAAGGGCGATATAAGAAAATGGTATAAGAAAAACATGTTTATCTAGGGTGAGAGTGGAGTTGCAATAGGGGGTGATATCCCCAGATAATCAAGTCCTTAAAAGGATACCTTCCGTAATTAATTATCTTCATATCAATAGTCTATTTTCATACTCTGGTGGAATTAAAATCCATAAGATTGTCAATTATACAAAAAAATTGAATTGCATATCAAAATGATATCATCGTGGGTAAAGAAGTAAAATAATGTCCAACCTAAACGGAAATATAGAAATTATTAGAGATGGCAAAATACAGACCAGATAGAAACCTGTTCACGTCTTCTGTACATACATCAAACACCGCTCCTCCATCTACCGTCAATGCAACTCCTTTGATTGATTCAACCATTGCTTCAGGTAAAAATCTTTTCAAGGAACTATACACAAATCTGGCATGGTTTTTTAATCATAAGTAAATAATCTTATCAGATAGAATCACAATTATAGGATGTTGGCTTGCTAAGACCTTTTTTTTGTACCTACCCTATGGCAAAGGGCAATGCTAGGGGAAATCCCACTTATCACACTACTTTCAACACTCACAAACACTTTTGCATACACAGTTATTGTATATGTGTTCGCCTTTGGTATCAAAAGTGGTGTTATAAGTGGGGTTCCCCAAACTTTTTCCTTTATGGGATAATTGGGTTGTTGTTGCGGGAAATAAAATAAGGAAATAAATACATATTTTAAATAGAAAAGAAAGAAAGAAAAACGTGAATGCTTACGAAGGAGAATACACGGGGCCTCCACTCACAAGGCGCAGAGTAACATAATTCTCCATTGAAGTAAGAAGTGAGCGGCTCTTCATCTTAGTATATCCCTGCAATTTCAAGTATTCTCAGTTCTCACATCCCGGGAAATCTAATAATGAAAATCGCCATGCAAAACATTGGACTAAATATCAAAAAGAGCTTAGAAAAAACAACTCACGGAAGCTTTTGCAAGTGCCTTTGCAAGAAGTTCAACAGCAGAGAGATTAGAGGCATTCATCAAGTTCTGGGCAGCTCCTATGAAGGCCGGTATCACACTTTGCACATTCAAAATCAATGCAGAACTTGTCATTATGATACGTGTAGTGTTTGTAAGAAAAACACAGGAAAAAAAGATCATTATAAATACAGATATGTAGGTACCTATCAGAGATTGCCGCAATTTCATCAGCAGCTTCTCTGCCAACAATTTTGGCAACTTCAGCTGGTTGTGGAGCAGCCATCATCTCAAACTTCACACCAGAATCCTTTTCAATCTTTGAAATGTTTGACTTCTTTGGATCATAAAACATGACTGCCACCCCACTATTACCTTGTGAAATGAAATGAGAACACAGCATTCCTTAGTTCCAACATTTAAGCATCTCACATTTGTTGTCAGTCTAGAACTATGAAATTCTAGATTTCAACCCTATTAGAGTCTATCCTACATCGCAAGTTGAATAGAAAAGTTATCGATATATAAGGTCTTGAGTTGAACTAAGTAATCGATTGAATTCAATCTTTTAATGTGGTTCAGCTCAAGTGTCTTATTGCCTCAATCCAGTTATCCATACTCATCCTAAATTCTATCATGGTATCAAACAGGTTTTGGTCCACCTCGTTTGTCAAGGAGTCCGTCTAGACGTTCATTCCTAGCGGCCCGTTTGTCTTTAGCCCAGTTGTCCGTATGAAGTATGTACCCAATGGCATGTGGCCTGTTTAACACGATAGCTCGTCTGGAAGTCCATACCCAGCGACTCGTGATCCTTTAGGTGTAGTCGCTCAAAAAAAATCAAGGGGATGAGAGTCCATTTTGCAAGTGGTCAACCGGTTAGATTCAAAATGGTCCGGTTGTTTACTTGAGGGGGAGTGTTAGAGTCTATCTCACATCGGAAGTTGAATAGAAAAGTAATCGATATATAAGGTCTTGAGTTGAACTAAGTAATCGATTGGATTCAATCTTTTAATGTGGTTCAGCCCAAATATCTTATTAACTATTGTCCCAATCCAGTTGTCCACACTCATCCTAAATTCTATCAAACCCAAAACCAATTAGCAATGAGATAAGTAACTCATACTCTTATATACTCCCTCCGTCCCAATGTTTTTGTCTACTTTTCCTTTATAGGTTGTCCCAGTGTATTCGTCCACTTTTCTTATATGGTAAACTAAATATCCTATAGTGAACCTTTTGCCCCCAATTACGTCTCCCTTTTTTCTCTCTCACCGTCCTCTCTTTGTGAGACTCAAAGCCACAATCTCTTCATCCATTCTCTTCCTTCTTGTTTCAATAATTTACTCTAAATCCTTCAACGTCATACTTTGCAACAGCTACCTTACTCATTGAGTGACGGATGAATTGAAACTATGGATTTGACGAAGATGGTTCTGGATCCACACTTTTTCTCGATTGCAGATTTGAAGATCTCTCCTTCAGCAAGTACAGGTGCAGCAACCTAGATCTAAGCTTTTATCGGTTGCAGGTCTGGCCTCGAGCCAAAAATGTAAAAACAATGGACCCCAAGCTTTTCTCGCTGAAAGATCTATTCCCCGGCATCCACAGATGCAATAGCAATAGATTTAAGTTTTTCTCTGTCGAAGATGGTGCCCTCCTGTCATGACTCGATCAAATTGAAGTAGATTAGAGCTGGCAAATCGGTCGGTCAGGTCGGGTTCGGGTTCAGTCACTTCAAGTTCGGGTTATTTCGGGTTCGGGTCAATTCGGGTTCGGGTTGAGAACTCTATGTTCATAACCCAGTGTCATCGGGTTCGGGTCGACCCAACGGGTTATGACTTTGGTTATTTAAATTTTTAAATTCACATTAATAAATTTAAAATATCAAAAAAAAAGTATTAAATCTACAAAATTATTTTATTGTAAACTCTAAAGTAGTATTTAGATATAAAAATCAATATAAGGAATTTAAAAATGCTTATGTTTTGGGGGAAAAGTAAGATAATTATGCAATATCATTAAAATTTTGTCTAAAAATATAAATTTATACACTAAAAACGAGTAAAAAAAGTGTACAATTTTGAAAAATTCTTACTTTAGCGGGTCGGTCAGGTCGAGTTCGGGTTCGGTCGGGTTTGACCCATTTTTAGCGGGTCATTTCGGGTTCGGTCAACTTCGGGTTCGGTCATCAAAACCTTTGTTCAAAACCCAGTGTTTTCAGGTCGGGTTTCGGGTCAAAAACAGGTCGGGTCACTTTTTGCCAGGTCTAAAGTAGATGGTGGATCCAAGTTTTCTCTTTGTGTGCTGTGTTTGCACTTTATTTTTTTATTTTATGTTCTAGATACATATGATCTTTGAAAGATTTTTTAAAGAGAAATTTTCGCTTGATTTGTGTTATTGATGAACAATTGATCAATAGTTAGGGGCTGTTTGTTTCAGCCTCTTAATGGTTCAGATGTCTGAATGGTTCAGCACTTAATGATTCAGACTGTTTGTTTCAGCCTCTTAATGGTTAAGAGATTTGCCTCTGAATGGTTAAGTATTATACAGAGTCTGAATGGTTAAGACTTCTTATCTGAATTGATCAGACATTTGTCTCTAAATAGTTAAACAATATACTAGCTCTTAATGGTTCACACCTCTTACTGGTTCAACACTTAATGGTTCAGACCTCTTATTGGTTCAACACTTACCTATTCAGAAGTTTCCAAACAGCCCCTTAATGTGAAATTTGCACTGAATAGGACTAAAACATAAGTCATTTCCCAATGTAGGACTTAAACTTTTTTATTCCCTAAATATGACTTAATGATGACCAGTGAGAAGGATAATGTCCAAGTGATGCTGGATATTTAGTTAAATAATGACTAATAGATTATGACCAATGATCCTACATTGGGAAATAAAAACATAAGGTCCTCTACTGAGAAAGTCATTATATTTTAGTCCTATTTAGGTAAATTACCCATAGTTAATTGAGTCGTGTTCGTGATAAGTTATTGATTAACAAATGCATTTTTAGTCAATATTTGACAGAGTCAAAAATAGGGATCAGTTTGTCTAAGTAGTAAGCAAGGGTACATTGGTCATATTATATTTTCATTGGTCAAAGAGCCAAAATGAAAGTGGACAAAAACACTGGGGTGGAGGGAGTCTTAGTTTTCTGAAACTGGGTTTTGGTCGTGGAACTTTATATCCTCAATAGTTAACCACTTTTGTACCTAATTTAATACTCTGTACATTCATAGATGGATGACTCACTTACCTGCCCTTCCAGTCCTTCCAGATCGATGAATGTAATCCTCAGCATCTCGCGGAGGTTCACACTATAAATTAATTTATTAACACACACAAAAAAAATTGTTAACATAAAAAAATGAAGGAAAAAAAAATACTATGTACTAGTGAAACAAACCTGAATAACTAGCATAACGTCAATGTCCAATCCGCGAGCAGCCACATTCGTCGCGACTAAGGTCATAAACTGGCCTAATCTGAATCCAGAAAGTGTAACCTAAGAGCAAATAGGCCAATCATTTGAGGCAAGAAAACGTTGGAGTTATCCCACATCTAGTAAACCTCATTTCTTGAGAGCTCTTTTAGAGTGAGTTAATCCCAACAGTTATTCTTAAGAGTAAAAAAAGTAACAAAATTGAGCAGCAATAAAGAACAAAACATATACCTCACGTTGGGCCTGTTGAATATCACCATGTAAAGGACGAGCATCGGGTAACAATGAAGCAAGTTCAGAAGCATAATCCTTAGTTTCAGTGAATACAATAGTGCGGCCTCCACTAGGAGAGATATAAAATCAAATTTCATTAAAATGGAATTGGCATACACTATGTTTTCTGATATATTATTCTCTAAATAAGCAAATAACCTGCTATAGCATCGAATGATATCAGGAATGAGTTGAGACCTGGCAGAACTTGAGCAAGGAATAATAACATGTCTCACACTGGTGCTTGCCTTCATTTTATCATTCCCAACTATGTCTATAGTTTTCTTGTCTTGTTTAAGAAACTTAGATGCAATCTGGCCAAACCAAATACAGGTTTTGTTCAGAAATCTTGACAGTTACACTAAATAAAATCATATGATGGTAAACGAACATGTTTAACCCAATCCGGCAAAGTGGCACTGAAAAGAAGTGTTTGAACTTGTCTTGGATCTTCTACTTTTCCTTTAAATTTAACAAAGAAATAGAATAGGCAAATAAAGAGAACATTAGTAATGATTATGAACAAAGTTTAAAGAAGCCAAATAAATTTTAGAACACAAAACTTCAAAGGGGTCGACAAACTTAACAAATACCTAGAATAAATTCCACATCATCAACGAAACCAATTCTCAGCATTTCATCCACTTCGTCAAGAACGCGAAACTTTAAAGAGGTCAAATCAATGTTTCCCTTTTGTATGAGGTCCTGTGTAACAATATGTGAAACATAAGGATGTCTTGACTTTAACATCAGTATGATATTATCCCCGATAGTCAATTTTCCAAGGAGCATGTAACCTTGATTCGTCCAGGAGCGCCCACAATAATATCAACCCCTTTACTTAATTTAGTTTGTTGGGGAGCATAGGGAGAACTTCCATACAAACAGCAAGATGACAGACCCAATGCCCCGCCATAATATTCAAAATCAGCAAAAACCTGTGATGCACCAGGACTTGAGAATAAGAAAACTCAAAAACACTCCAAAAAAAAGGAGGAAGTAGAGGTGCTTTTAAGTGAAAAAATAACCTGGAGAGCCAATTCTCTAGTTGGTAAGAGAACCAAAACACTGGGAGCTCTCCCATGACTGGTCTTCTTTGTAGTTGCATCAAGTTCATTTCGTATAGACTCCACAATTGGCAAGACAAAGGCCAAGGTTTTTCCCTACGTTTTAAGGGAGGGAAAACAAAACAAAACAAAAAAGAACAAAAGTTATGGTTATTAACATGTAAAATTAAACAGTTACTACTTCTGTCACAAAAAATCATAAGCATATAGCATATTCAGTCTAGCATATAGCATTCTAGCCAATGTCAACAATGGCAGCATGTTTCAATGATAATGTGACACTTGAGTGTGTTTTGATCATACTTTGGCATGATTTCTAACTACTACACATATTTAATGTTAATTGCTTCAGGGCGATAGATTCGTATTGTTTCTTTAAAAAATTGCCTAACTCCCCCACTCAATAGTTATCTACCGCTAAGTGATTGGAAACTTTTGATCAGATGGAATAAAAATGTGTAGTATTAACACAACTATTTCCTGGTGAAATTGCAATTGGTTTTGAATGATCGAAATTGAAATTCAATTGTAGTTGATCTGCAGCATATAAACGGCCGGTGAAAAGGCAGCATACCTGACCAGTACGAGCACGGCCAACCAAATCGGAGCCATCCAAAATGGTATCGAAAGTGGTGGCTTGAATCGGAAACAGCGATTCAATTCCCCTGGCCTTCAACGCCTCCCTCAGTGGATCCGAAATCCGAAAATTGGAAACCGAATTCGACTTCTCCTCCGTACATTTCGAGCTCATCTGCTCCGCAATCCTTCACTGCTATCAAATCCATAACCTTTTTCACCTTCTTACTTTGCCTTCTCCGCTTCATTCTCCGATTTTCCCTCTCAGTTTCTCTGACTATTTCTCCCCCCTCTTTATTTGTTTTTTTATTACCGCCCATTTCTAAATTTAATGTTATAAATTTATATTGGTATTATTAAAAAAATAATAAGTATACCATATAATGAAATATAATGTTTTTCAATTGTGTAATACATGAATTATCTCCATCACATCTTCCTACTCTGAAAAGAAGGAGAAACATGTACCCATCGTTTTCCCGCCCAATTGACTTCTTAAATACGGTTTGAGAATTTAAAATGGCGAGTGTTTTAAAAAAAGAGATAAAAAGAATGAATGATTGAATTTTGATATTATTATTTTTATTAAAAATCAAAGGAGGTTAGATTTATTTTTCTTGAAACGCCGATTTCATAACCTTTTAAAGCATAGAAATAAAAAGAGGAAAGATTTAAAAAAGGAGGAATGCTTGAATTTTATTAATAACTTTAATGTGTAAGCAATTAACATGGTGCAAATAAAATACATAAGATTGAAATTTTAAAACTTTCATTATTAAGCACAAAAATACTCACGGTTTTAGAATTCTTGCAATATTTTTTTATTTTCCGCCACACTAAAAAAAATTAGTTACACGTATAATAAAGAAAAAAAGTTTCAAGAAGTTATTTTTTTTAACATCGCCCAATACTCGACATTAGACCTGGCAAAAAATGACCCGACCTGTTTTTTACCCGAGATGCAACCTGAAAATACTGGGTTTTGAACAAATGTTTTACTGACCGAACCCGAAATGACCCGCTAAAATGGGTCAAACCCGACCAGACCGACCCGCGAATCTAATTTTTTTTTAGAATCATACATTTTAATATGAAATATAGTGTTATAAAAATTAGATTATAATTATATTTCTTTGCAACACTGAGTCATGAACATGTAGTTATCAACCCGAACCCGAACTTATCCGAACACGAAGTAACCCAAACCCAAGGTGACCAAACCCGAATCCGACCTGACCCACCGGTTTGCCAGGTATCAGACAAATAAAAATGATTCGAGAAGGGGCCTTTGCATTTAACATGCTAATAACTTCTAAAATTCTATGATTTCTTTGTTTGGTAATTCTTTCTTTTCTTAATATGTTAAATATGTTTTTTCATGCATAAAAAATCCCCTTCAATTTTCGGGCATTAAGTATGTACGGACTTTATAAAGTTAATTTCTTTTTTTAAATAGTTAAAACCGTATCATTTATATACACAATGCTTTCCTTTTATAAAACCATATTACTTATATACACTGCATTAAATTACAATGGATCTTATAAGCTATTTTCCTTTTATAGAATGAAATAAAGCCATATTTGCATGTTGCTTAATTATAATTACCGTAGATTAAAAATGTAGATCAAAATCGATGGTCCATAAACGATAGCGTTTGGGTGGGAAAAAGCATGGAGCATAATTCTCCTGCTTTTAAGAATAGGATTAGTTTCGTTTTGTTTCTCCAGTCATCATTCTCCCTACGGCGGATTCAGGTTACTTCAGGTTTGGATAAGTTTAGGTTTGGGTTAAGAGTTACATGTTCATGACCCAATGTTATCGGATTCGGGTCTGTCGAAATATTGGAATAATAATATTGCTCCTTGAATTATGAACTACATGATAGAGTATATATAGAAGAGATTCCTAACACAACTAGGAATAAAGAATAGAGACTAACTAAATACAACACCTACTACAAATAGGATTGGGAAGCTGACTAATAATGAAACACTACCATAACCAATACTACCAGAAGTAATATTAGTATTATTGTCTAACAGGGTCGACCCAACAGATTATGACTTTCATTTATTTTTTGAAATTTTACGGAATGTTTATGACCGAAAAAATGGAGAAACGGAATGAACTTTTTTTAAACAAACGACAACAAATGGAATCGGGGAATCCCATTCTGTTTCCCGTTTCCCTTACCCCCAAACCAAACGCCCCCTAAATATGCAAAAAATTTTGAAGATAATTATGCGATATCATTGAAATTTTGTATGAAAATATAAATTTATATATTAAGAACGAGTAGTGAGCATAAAAATATAATTAAAATGTAATTTTTATAACATTATATTACATATTAAATCATATGATTTTGAAAAGTTCTTACATTAGCGGGTCGGTTAGGTCGGGTTCGGTCAGATTTGACCCATTTTTAACGGGTAATTTCGGGTTTGATCAGGAAAACCTTTGTTCAAAACCTAGTATTTCCAGGTCGAGTTTCAGGTCAAAAACAGGTCGGGTCATTTTTGTCAGGTCTAATTTTTCCCATTTCTTTTCTCAATCGATCAGTTTCATGTTTCTAAGTTAAGATTATAAAAATGAATGTATCATTTCCCCTCTAACCCAAAATAAATTGCAGAATTACGAAGTAATTGTTAGCATATATATTTATTTACTACCATATATGTAATTAGTTTCCTTTGTAATTAGTTTCCTTGTTAGTAGTGTAATTAGTTTCCTTGTTAGTAGTCCTTTCCATACTTGGAGTAGGACTTGGCACATGTATATATACGTTGTGAATATTGAATGAAACGCAGTTCAGTTTTTCCAAAATTCTACATGGTATCGGAGCCAATTTCCCGGGACCTTCTCAAACCCTAGGTTTTTTTTTCTCACGCACGGTGCCGCCACCGTTGCTTCGCCGGCCGCCACACCACGGTCGCCCCTCTTCGATCGGCTCACGTCGATCACCACCGCTGCAGCGCCGGCTCACGTCGGACTCATAATCACCGTCTTACGCCGGTACTATCTTCGTTTCCATGGCAAGCGAAGGAACAAAGAAGGTCAGGCTCATCCACGACCCTACCTCTCCGTACTACATCCACCCGTCCGAAAGTGCGGGTAATTCCTTGACGAAGCATCTTCTCAAAGGTGATAATTATGATATTTGGGAGAAAACAATTATTAATGCTCTAGAAGGGCGTAGTAGAGCAGGTTTTCTCAATCCTTCCGGGTTTCCTAAACCCACTGATGAACAGGAATTGGCGGCATGGAAAGCTAATAATTCCATAATTTGTTCTTGGATCTGTAACAGTGTTGATGAACACATCCAACCTTCCATTATCTCCCATAAAATTGCTCATGAATTATGGTTAGATCTGAAGACCAGATATGGAGGTTCCAATGGACCTCGTATTCACCAATTGAAATCTGAGTTTCAATCTTTGCGTCAAAAGGGACAAACTGTGGTTGTCTACTATAACCAATTTGTGACTTTGTGGAACAAG